TTTACTCTTATGGAGATTACCCAGTTCCAATGGACAAGCGTAGTTCAACATCTCCAAGAAAGCAGCCATGTGCGTCAGAGTGTAGCACCTCCCATTCCCTTTTCAATCGTGGCATAACCTGCTATAACTTCCCCCTGCCTTTCCCATCGCAACTCCAAAGGGAGGTATGCATAGAAGCATTTTAAGCTGAACATTGTCATGAGACCAGCATCAAGGAGAGCAAGAGAATTGCTGCCAATAGCGGCTTCTGTTTCAGCGACGGAGAAGAGGCTCAGTATGAACTTCAGTTCTTTCTCAGTGAAGATGCAACACTGGTGGTAAGTGTGCCATTAGACCGAAGCCCCTTTGTTACCCCCACAGATACTTACTCGTTCACATCTTCTTTGGTGTGATTGGTGAACAGGAGACCGACTTCACCTCTTAGGTGTTTGCTGACCTGGAAGATAAGCAGTATGTGGAATTCAGCAGAGCACTTAACTTGGGCCGTGCTGAAGCCCCCTAATAGCAAGGAGTTTACTCAGGAAGCCCAGATAATTCAGAGGACCCAACCCTTAAGATTTGCAGATCTTGATTAATCAGCTGCAACGTGTCTTGCAGCCCTTTGGTGCTGTGAGGAAGACTAAATTAAGAAGGACCGGATGTAGATGGCAAGTCTATTTCAGGAGACTTTTCCTCCTGACGTGAAACTTGTTCTGTGGCTGAAGGAAGCAGTGGCTTGGCAGGACATTCCAGATGTAAACTCTGGAGAAAGGAGTTTAGATTGTGGGAGTTTAGATTGTGGGAGGTGGAAAAGGGTATGAATCACTGGGGCCTAAGAAAGAATTAAGATCAAGATTCTCAGATGTTTCATGAGGAAAAGTCAGAGAAATCCCATTTGAAAAGTCACTATGATCTAGTCATAGAATTGCTGAAGAAGAAAAATGAGTTAAACAGAGAATTTTTGGACTCCTGTGAGAGCTCTTAGTATCTGAGTTTAGTTTTTCAAACTGTAGTAAGAATTCCGTAGGGCTGAGGCTCCAAATTATTTTTTAAAGCTTGGATAGATGAATTCAGACTATTCACACACTGGCTGCAGTCCTCCTTCACTGAGAGGCTAAAAAGATTTGAAGACACATCTACTGGTGGAGGTCCTTCGAGCTCTCCCAACAATTCTGCCTCCACAGCAAGAAGATTAAGCAGTATTGGCTGAGAGATGCCACTTATACCTGCAACCCAGACCTTCAGGATTGAGTTGCTCTACTACTAACAAGGAATGTCCCCAATAGTTATCTTGTGAGCAAGGCACGGTGATTTTACCGCTCACCCCCCAACACGTTGGAAGGAGGAGGGAAATGCTGCAACATCCTCGTGCACCCTTCCTTTGGTGAACTGATTAAATTTCTTACTGTAGTGGAAGAACCTACGGTGAACAAAGCTACACTGACGTGAAGCTAACCACCACCAGAGTCAAAAGGCTGCCCACACTGGAAATGGGACTGATGTCAAAGGCAACTTGCCTAAAGATCTACATATCAGTGAAGGACTGGCTTTATCATCATCATTGTGGTAGTGCTTAGGTGCCCCAGTCGTGGACCAGGACCCCTTTGTGCTAGGTGCTGTACAAACACAGAGCAGAAAAATGGTCCCTGCCCCCAAAGAGCTGACAATCTAAGTCAAGGGTCTCAAACTCAATTTACCTTAGGGCCAGTGTCAGTTCTCAAATCCTCCCAATGGCCAATAATGTCACTGAAGATGGTGTTCCCGCCACCTCCCAGCCCGTTTCCCACCCTTTCCCCTCGCTCCCTTGGCCTCATGCCGCCCCGACTGACTCTGCCCGGCAACTAATGATGCCGTCTCCATGGCTGACTAGTGATGGTATCTCTGTCCCTCTCCCCCAGCCAATGGGAACTGCGGGGGCGGCGCCTGCAGCAGACAGCTGGCAGCATGGCTGTATGGGTATCTCCTCCGCGGCAACAGCAGGGATAGGGAACCGCTTGCAGGGAGCCGAGCTGCCCGAGGTGAATGACACGTTGCCGAGTGCAACTCCTGGGAGGGTCCCAGGAGCAGCAGGATGGAGCAACGTTGGGGGGAGGGGCATGCGAATCTCTCCTGCCCGCTCCCTCCCACCCCCAGCCGGCAGCCTTGAGGGCCGGATGAAAGAACTTTTTTAAAAGTTTCCATGGGCCGCAGTGGGGAGGTTCTTGGGCCGGGACTTTGAGACCCCTGTTCTAAGTATTTGAATCCCATTTACTGCAGATGGAAGAGTATTGATCCATTCTGGCTCTCCAAAGCAATTCTTTATTTTCTCTTGAGATTTACAGAAAATAAGGCTTACTTCCAAAACATGCAAAAGCTCTGGAAATCAGAACATACCTGGTGTAAGTTCTCCTTGTACTCATCAGCTGGCCCCCGTCCCAGTGCCACCATCATAACTTTGTTTTTCCCAAAGAAAATCCTATTAGAAAAAAAGGAAAAGAATCCATCATGATGGGCTCAATACATCTGCAGAGTTGAATCAGGGATGAAGATGGGTTCTCAATCGGGGAGTCGCAGCCTCTCCCTTTTTAAGGGCTGGGGAAGGGGATCCTGAAACTTCTCTCTTGTAACCTAAGAATTAGGAAAGTTACTGTTCTGCCCCAAACAGGAGGGATGGACGGTGATAGGCATTGCATCGCTTTAGCTCTACATGCCAGTGCGTGGAAGCTGCCATGGAACACTGCCGCTTTTTAAATCTTAGAGTTAACCCCAGGACTGCAGCCAAGAGCCCCAAGCTGGAAACTATCCTCTTGAGGGGTGGAAGAGAAGAAAATTCACAGAGCTCTTCTAGCAGTTACCTCCCCCTCCCACAGAACGAAGTACAGTAATCTGTCTAAGGTATGTATACACCTATAAGACAATATTCATGATCAGTAGCCAGGAGCGGAAGCAATCTCAGAGACTACTGCTCACCTGCTGTGCTTCCAGGCACTTCTGATATCCTTCAGCTTGTTGTTTCTCATGTTGGCAACAGAGAAGATAAAGAGGTGTTTGTAGGTGTCCACACATTTCCGCAACTATAGGAAAACATGATGTTGAGCAGTTATAGCAAACATCAGAGAAATCCCCATTGCAGACCAATGCGTTTCTGCAACAGCTTAAACACAGAACATGGGATGGAAGGATTGTTCAAAAATTCTATTCATGGCAACATCTCTGGCTCCCCAGCAATATCATGGAACTAACTACTATGATTTTGATGTGAGATTCTCCATTTGAACTAATCAACTGTAAAAAAAATTTTTTGTTTTACATTAAAATAAATTATAAAACAAACAGTATTTGCTCAACTCTCTCTCTCTCCCCCCAACGCTTAGCCAGTCGGCTGTAGCCATCGTTCATCATTTGGCCCGTTCCTGCGCAACCGCGAAGGCTTGACGGCCTGAGAGTCCAACATCAGAACAGACTCGATGAACCCATGTAATAAGGGGTCTGCCTCTGGGCCGCCTCCACCCCTCAGTTGGTGGAATTTTATCCCGGATGTTACAAGCCACCTGGAGAACAGCGTTTGCTGGAAGTCTTGTGGCATCTTTGAGACATGCCCAAAAAGCATAAGGTGCCGCCTGAGGACAGTGGCCCCAGCAGTCTGTAGACCCGAATGACCATAAACATCTGCATTACAGATGAAGTCATTCCACTTTATGCCCAATATATGACGTTGACATTTTGTGTGGAAAGCCTCCAGCTTTGCCCAGTCTGCGCGGCATAGCGTCCATGTTTCACAGCTGTACAACACTATGGGAAGGATGCAGCTCGAATAAATCCTGAACTTAGTTGTCATACTAAGATGATGTTGATTCCATATCCGTTGTAAATGGCCCATGGCAGATGCTGCGATGCCAATCTGATGGAGAACCTCCGTGTGAGAATTGGAGGAGCTGATAAGTATAGAACCCAGATCGCAAAAGCTGGAAACTGATTCAACAGTTTCATTGTTCAAAGAGATTGGAGTTGCAGGTGGACCTGGTCTTAGATTTTGCAGTTTTGTCTTTGACCATGAAACATGGAGACCAATTTTAGCTAACTCCTCCTCCATATGCTGGAGTGCCTCACAAAACCTGTTGGGACTCTGTATTAAAAGAGCAACGTCATCAGCGTAGTCAAGGTCTGTGAGCGAGAGATCGCCGATCTCAATGCCTATGGACCTGACGGAATGCTGCATTATGAAATCCATTGCCCGACAAAAGAGTGCAGGGGCCAGAATGCAACCCTGCCCAACACCAGATACTGATTTAAAAGGCACTGACATCCGGTTCCCCAGACGAACGTGGGCAGTGGTTCCATTAAGAAACTCTCTAATCAAGTCCAGCAAAGTGGTAGGGACACCTATGCCCTTTAAGGCCTTCCATAACGCGACACGGTCTACTGAATCAAATGCAGCCTTAAGATCAACATACGCTATGTGCAGGTGCTTCCTGAACTCGCAATGTATTTCTGACAATAAGCAAAGGACCAAAATGGTGTCTAATGTGGACCTGTTCCTCGTAAAGCCTGACTGTTGGGGACAACGCTTCCAATGTAGCAAAGGCTCCAGGCGTGCCAGGAAAACATGTGCAAACACCTTCCCTGTAATGGAGAGCAAGGTGATGAGCCTGTAGCTCTTACATTCATTGCGTGGTCCCTTGCCCTTATGGAATTAGATCACAATGCCGTCCTTCCAGGCGGTTGGCACGGTTCCAGTTCTCCACACCAGACAAAAGATGGCCAGAAGTGATTCAGCTAGAGGATCAATAGCACATTTTAGCAGCTCTGAGGGGATGCCATCAGCACCGTCTGCGTGTCCGTGTTTCAGTTTAGAGATGGCACACTTCACTTCATCCAATGTTCGTGCATGAGTACAAATGTCTGGATCCGGAACCACAGTGACTGCCAGATCAACCAGCTCTGAACAAGCGGCAGCTGGAGGATAGTTCAGGACACTGTGATAATGTTCCATCCAGCATGAGAGAATGTCATCATCTGATTTACATGGATGGCCTTGGCTGTCATTCAGGATGCTGTTTGTAGCGACTACTTCGACCGCTAAAGTGCAGTACACAACTCAACCATTAAGCCCACCGTCCTGCCCCGATAGAAGCCAATACCTGAAGAGACCAAGAAGCCTCAGTAATGTAGTTGGTCAGTTGTATGACCCACTACACAGACAGCACGACAAATTCTTTTATGACCCTTGTGGCACTTAGCTTAAGTCCTGAGGAAGTTTTACTGTATGCACTGTAACTTTTTTTTTTTTTATAAGAAATTTAACAGATCTTTAATGAATTCATCTGACACAACAGTTGACCATTCTCAAAGTGCTTCTTTTCTATATTTCTGGGGTCTAGTCAAATTGCCTCTGTGTGCCTCAGTTTCCCCACATCTGTAAAGCATGTAGTGAGACTTAGTCTGTGTAAATTATATTAAGAACCTCACAGGAGGAGATTCTACAGAAGGGAAAGAGCATATCTGTTTTTCTCCGATACAGAATGGAAAACTAAATGCAGCACCTTATGACGTATGTTTTTACTTACCTCTTCTATTAAACTCTGTTTGACTTCTAATCCTTTCTTTGTGGTTTTTGTTAGGGAAACTGAAAGGAAGAAGAAGAGCTTCAGCATTATTGATAACTTGGGCACTGCTTATGTAAAGTACAATTAAAAAGCACAGAAATGTGGCTGCCAAATACACTCTGGACATTAGCTTTAATAAACTCAAAGACTTTTGACTCATTTCTAGAAGACCATGTGCAACCTTCTAGCACTGATGCTTTGCTGGGAGCGCCCACATGGTTGTAGGATCAGGGTTTCCTTTACTAATTAAAACCATGAGCTACAAACCATCATTGAAATAAAACATTTCAGGGTTTCACTGACATGCAACAGCACATCGCCAGATATTTGCATCATCCCTGGTAAGAGGCAAGGAACTCATGAATAGGAAGTAAACAGCGTTACTGAGGCTGCCAAATTGGTTCTATAATTCCCAGACCAACTAACACAGCCTAATGTCTGCACACAACTCCCACACCCCCCACCTCAGTAACAATGAGGAGTCTGGTGGCACCTTAAAGACTAAGGGATTTATTTGGGCATAAGTTTTCATGGGTAAAAAACCCACTTCTTCAGATGCATGGAGTGAAAATTACAGATACAGGCATAAATATATATACTGGCACATGAAGAGAAGGGAGTTACCTTACAAATGGAGAACCAGCGTTGACAAGGCCAATCCAGTCAGGGTGGATATGGTCCACTCCCAATAACTGAGGAGGAGGGGTCACTACCAAGAGAGGGAAAATTGCTTTTGTAGTGAAGGTAACTCCCTTCTCTTCATGTGCCAGTACGTATATTTATGCCTGTATCTGTAATTTTCACTCCATGCAGCTGAAGAAGTGGGTTTTTTACCCACAAAAGCTTATGCCCAAATAAATCTGTTAGTCTTGAAGGTGCTGCCGGACTCCTCGTTGTTTTTGTGGCTACGGACTAACACGGCTACCCCGATACTCAGACCTCAGTGGCTCCGTAGCCAAACAATCAACGTTACCCAAAAGAGCCACAGGAGCGTGAATTCGTTGTGAACTCTCACCGCAAACTGCCTGACCCAGTGTTCCACCATGGGTTTAGTAACATAGTAACAGCATCCTGAGTGGCTGTTAATTAAATCAGGGTGTTGATATCACGTGCTGCACGGAGCCGCAGGAGAGACAGTCACGAGCCCCCGGCGGCTCCCACGCCGCAGTATCACGGCGTTACGGCAGCCAGGGGCCCACCGGGGGCCCCAGCTCAGCGGGGCAGGGAAGCCGCCACCGAAACGCGGGCGGCCCTGCCGGGCCCAGCCTCCCGCCTGCACAGGGGCGCGGGCGGACAGCGCGAGGGGAGGGCAGAGGGGGGCCCCGGCTCGGGGAGGGGGAGGGGCGGGCGGTGAGGTGAGCTGGGGGGGGGGTCCCTGGGCGGGAAAGGAGGAATGGGGGGGGGTCACTCACTCTTCTTGTCCCGCTTGGATTTAGGCATAGCTCGCACGTCGCTGGCCCCGCTGTGCGCGCCAAGGACCCTGTGCGCCGCGAGGGCTGCCGGGATAGGAAACCCCTGGAGGTGCCCGAGGAGGTGCCGGACCAGAGCTGCCCTCGCTGGGGTAATCCCTTCCGCCGGCCCCGCGCGCCCCTTTCCGCGAGGAGGCTGCCCCCTACGCCGCCGTTAGCTCCAACACAAATAGCTGACCCTGCCCGGGAGAGGAAGTTTTTTTTCTCACTCAGGCGCCCATTTGGGCAGCCCCTGCGGGCGAGGCCCCGCCTCGCGGCGGTTCTGTGGAGCCGGCGCGCTGCCTGTCGGGATAGGCTCGGCCTCGGAGCAGCTTCCGGGCTCGGACCATGACGGCCGGTGCGTGGCTGTGGCTGCTGCTCCTGGCTCCCCTGGCGGCCGCGGTCTACGAGGATCAAGTGGGCAAGTTCGACTGGTGGGTGCTGGGGCCACATCCGGGTATTTAATCCCCCCGTCCGCTGGGGTGGGGGGTCTGGGGATCTCCCCCCCCCACTGCCCCCTGGGGTGGGAGTCTGGGGCTCCCCCCCCCCCACTGCCCCCTGGGGTGGGAGTCTGGGTTCCCCCCCACTGCCCCCTGGGGTGGGGGTCTGGGGATCCCCCCCACCTTCCCCTGGGTCTGGGCATCCCCCCCATTGCCCCTTGGGGGGGCTGGGAATCCCCCCACAACTCCTTGGGGTGGGGTGCTGGGCAGCTGCCATCACCCCACTGTTCTCTTGGGCAAGAGGGGCTGTGTCCGGGTATCTCTCGCCCATTCCTGGGGTGAGCCGGAGGAGAAGCAAGTACTGAGCGTTGCCTTATTTTAGCTCGAGTCCGACCCCGCTGCCAGACTGGGTTTGAAGTGGGTAGAACTGCTGCAGCTGAGCTGAGCTTTGCGAGATGAGCAGGAGCCTGCCGGGAGCTGAGCTCTGCCCCGGCCCCGAGCTGGCTTGCCTGCGTCACTGTCACAGGCACTGGTATCTCTGGGGGAGAACGCGTCCCCCAACCTTGCCATGGCCGTGTGAGAGCCCCAGTTATAGAAACATCCGTAGGGAACAGGCCTGCACTGGCCATCGGAAAAGTGCATTAGCTGACCAGGTATTAGTCCTACTGTCTAGGATTTAGAGCCCTTTGCCTCACGAAGCTGCTCCCTGTCTCCTTTTTCTCTAAGGGATAGCTGAGGATGTCGATTTCTGCTTCTCATCTCACTGGGGAGGAGGAAAATGACCTTTGCACGGCAGTGGTTTTCAATCTAAAGACATTGGAATATAGGAATTGCCATATTGGCTCACACCCAAGGTCCATCTAGTTCAAAGTCTTGTTTCTGACAGTGGCCAGTTTTGTAGGAAGGAGTAAGAACCATGCAGCAGGCAGACATGAACCTTGAGGCTTAACATCCCTTCCAGAATGATACAAAACTACTTAAGATAGCTAAGTCCCAAGCAGACTGTGAAGAGCTACAAAAGGATCTCTCAAAACTGGGTGACTGGGCAACAAAATGGCAGATGAAATAAAATGTTGATAAATGCAAAGTTATACACATTGGAAAACATAATCCCAACTATATATATAAAATGATGGGGTCTAAATTAGGTGTTACCACTCAAGAAAGAGATCTTGGAGTCATTGTGGATAGTTCTCTGAAAACATCCACCCAATGTGCAGCGGCAGTCAAAAAAAGCTAACAGTGTTGGGAATCAGTAAGAAAGGGGTAGATAATAAGACAGAAAATATCATATTGCCGCTGTATAAATCCATGGCATGCCCACATGTTGAATACTGCGTGCAGATGTGGTCGCCCCATCTCAAAAAAGATATATTGGAATTGGAAAGGTTCAGAAAAGGGCAACAAAAATGATTAGGGGTATGGAATGGCTGCCATATGAGGAGAGATTAATAAGACTGGGACTTTTCAGCTTGGAAAAGAGACAACTAAGGGGGATATAATAGAGGTCTATAAAATCATGATGGGTGTGGAGAAAGTAAATAAGGAAGTGTTATTTACTCCTCACAACACCAGAACTAGGGGTCACCAAATGAAATTAATAGGCAGCAGGTTTAAAACAAACAAAAGGAAGTATTTTTTCACATGACACAGTCAACCTGTGGAACTCCTTGCCAGAGGATGTTGTGAAGGCCAAGACTATAACAGGGTTCAAAAAATAACTAGATAAGTGAATGGAGGATAGGTCCATCAATGGCTATTAGCCAAGATGGACAGGGATGGTATCCCTAGCCTCTGTTTGCCAGAAACTGGGAATGAGCGACAGGGGATGGATCACTTGATGATTATCTGTTCCGTTCATTCCCTCTGGGGCACCTGGCATTGGCCACTGTCGGAAGACAGGATACTGGGCTAGATGGATCTTTGGTCTGACCCAGTATGGCCTTTCTTATGTTCTTAATGTTTGTTTTTATTAATTATGGTGATTCTGGATATTCTTGATATCCATATAAATACCCAGTCCCATTTTGGATATTGTAAAGATGAGTTCTTGCAGGTTGTCAGAGATTGACATTTATTTCCAGTCGCTTTCAAAGTGCTCATTTCACATCCACGGTGTCCTAAAACACGTTCTCCAGCAACGTTATCCAATTCTGGTGTGACCTACTGAGTAAAGCAATGGATGGGGATTCAGGAGACCTGGGTTCTAATTCTGGCTGTCGCTGGCCTGCTGAGTGATCTTGAGTAAATCCTGTAATCGATCCCGTGCCTCAGTTTCCCCATCTGTAAAGTGGGGATAAGGATGCTAATGTCCTTCGGGCTTTGAGGTCTACTGATGCAAAGTGCTGTATAAGAGCTAGATATTATTAATAAACATTTATTACATGTCTCTTCTCAGTTGCATGTTTGTGGGTCAGATGGTAGAAATCCGTTGATGCTACCCAATATGCAGAGAGCTCAGGGAAGAATTTAATATGGCCCCAAAAGAGCTGTGAAGACCAGTGACTTCCTCTTTGCAAGGGGCCGTCTTAATAGAAGTAGCACATGGCAGCTCTTTTCATTGATAATAATACATTGTTCGCTTTGGTAGTATTTAGTGAAGATGCAAGAATGAGACTGGTTATACTGCAATGCAACAGTTCATCTTTTTCATTTCTTGTTAATGAATGTAGAATATTAGACACTTTGTTTTCTTTGTGTGAATTTCCTAGAAGCAGATTTGACATTGAGCTCCAAAATATCACAAAATTCCTTTCTTGCTCGGTCAGACTCAATTTCTCTCTTCATTTTCAGTGAACTCCCCCCTTACCCCCAAAAAGAAGGATTATAGTAGTGTTGTGGTTGCCCTCTGTCAGTCCTTAATAGTTGCAGCTAGTGCCACCATATCGTTTGTGTTCTGTCCACCTGTGTTAATTTCAATCACCCTTTTCCTATTTTTCAGTAGGTTAAGTGGAAAGTGTTCTTTTTTCACACCACCTTTGATTTTCCTGTTCCTTAGGAGGCAGCAGTATGTGGGAAAACTCAAGTTTTCTTCCTTGGAAGCTTCACAGGGCTCCAAGAAGCTTATTGTGGCTACTGAGAAGAATGTGATGGCTGCTTTGAATTCCAGGAATGGAGAAATCTGTGAGTGAACTGTTGTTTTATGACTCGGGATCTGCTATTTGTGTGGGAACTAATGCACACGGGACCAAAATTGAGCCCTGGCATATATTAAAAGTTACTCTTGCTTACACCAAAGCTAACTTTTGGCACATCGTTCATTTTAAGGGTTGCGGGGTGGTTAACTAGACGTGACTTTATTTTCCCTGAAGACAAGGAATTTTAAAAAATATTCTTATCAATTTTATTTAATTTTTTTCAGGCTTGGTGGCTTCATTTCCTACTTTTAAGTATAAACTTGTTAGGTGCTGGCATGACTAGTCTGTTCTTGACCAATACAGTGGGACCAAGAACTGAGTGGGGCATGAAGACTGAATTCCTCTCTCATCCCTAGAGGTGGTCTTGCTGGATAAGATTTGAGGCACATTGGAAGGGCCGTTTTGAGGAAGCTTGCATTGGCACTATCTATACTGTACTTGGCCTGTGGTTAGATAGAGGATGTCAGTCTGTGGCACTGCCAGTTGATACCTTTCTTCAGCATGAAATACCCCAGGGGAAAAAATCATTCCCACTTTACTCCTTGTTCCTTTCAGTGTGGCGTCATGTGGACAAGGGGACTCCTGAAGGAGCAGTAGATGCCATGCTGATTCATGGACAGGGTAAGCAAAGCATTTAGCCTTTCCTGTGTGATGAGTGTTCATTCCCATTACAGACATCCAGCCAAGTTGGGACAGAGGGCTAAATTTCCTAGAGCTAATAGTCACGGTGAGCCTGTAGTGGATACAGGTGCAGTGTTAAAGATTGTGTCATTTACTCCTTGGCCTGTTCTCTTCTAGTCGCATGAGGATAATTTCCTGCTTATCTGCTCTGTTTAATTTACCGCTTGGTGCTATCAGGATCACGGCTACACAAAGATTCTTTTGTGACTGTGCATGACATAAGGAATTCTGGACTCCTAGTGCGAAGAGTATAAGTGAACCATAAAACCTGAAATCCTCTGCACATTATACAAATAAAATGACCTTCCTGACTATGAAGCAGACCAGGTGTCTTCTGGGCCGTGGTTGATATGTAATGTTCTATCCATAACAATGGAAGAGCAAGTAACCTGGAGGATGAGCAGGGAATTGAATAAAGAAACCAATATAAAAATATTTGATTTGTTATTCTCTCCTCCCGGCCAGATGCCATCACTCTGTCTAATGGCGGGCGCATTTTGCGTTCCTGGGAGACAAACATTGGAGGGCTGAACTGGGAGACATCACTGGACACTGGCAGGTGGGAAATCTTCAGCAGGCTTGTCACTATACCCTTTGGAGAGGGGAATTTGCCTTCTTTGTGTGTAGTTGTGTTTTAGGGTCAATGTCAATTACAGTAACTCCTCGCTTAACGTTGTAGTTCTGTTCCTTAAAAATTCTACTTTAAGCGAAACGATGTTAAGCGAATCCAATTTCCCCATAAGAATTTATGTAAATAGGGGGGTTAGGTTCCA